TTAAAATAATAAAAAGTGTTTGGTTTGGTTTTGCCTAAACTTAAGAAGGAACTAAGGTGACATTAATGAACTTCAGGTATTCTTGGATGACAAGACATACTAGTTCCTAAAATAGCTTTCCAAGGTTAGGAAACAAATGGATGGAGACAATCAGTGGAGAGGCTGGGCGGGTCGGATTGGTCACCTGCGGGGCAACGAGATGACTTAGTAGTCTTAGCTTTCTTTCAGTATCCCAGTTTTTGATGCTTCTATGATTTTTAATATGTTTGGTTTTACAGCATCCACATTCTGATTTGCATCCATTTATCTCTCCAGGGGCTTCGTCCTCATTTTATATTTAATTGGATTCAGTGTTTACTGCTAGTCCTTTTATGGAGGCTTTCACATTACTAATTCTCTAATTTGGCCGGTTTTTTAGCTGGCTGTGTTAATTACCGAGCAGTTTTCCTCCCGCACCGGAAGGCCCTCGAGGGGCGTCCTCCCCAGGTCCTCTCCTGGCTCGCGTGTCTGCCTGCTGCCTCTGATGGGGTGATTGCAGTGACCATCACCCAGTGTTGGAGTCTCTGGCCCTTTCTCTCTTGGGTCCGTATGCTGGTCTTCCTTCACCCTGGTGTGGGATTTTCTGTTCGGAAGGATGATTGCAGGCTTATAGGATCGCTTTGTCGGGTCCTGGGTTTTTCCCCTGGCTGAGCAGTGAATTCTTGGAAGTCTCATTAATGGTTTTGTATCCAAATTTCCTTGGTTAGCATGTTTAAGCTGTAGGTTCAAGTGTTCTTTGAGTTTAGAGGGGTTTTGCATATTGTTTTGTTTTTTGGTATCAGGAGTTGAACTCACGACCTCGTGCTTGCCAGGCAGGCGTGTGCCGCTGAGTTGTATCCACGGCCTCAGTTTTGCATGTCGTGTGTTCTATGTTCAGGGTACAGAGAGGTACATCCCCTTGGCACAGGCTTTGTGTCTTCACACCAGCTGGGTGGGGGTCATCACTCTCTTCGTTGCTAGTTATGCACCTTGGACCAGGCACTTGGTCTCCGTGAGCCTTGCTTACCTCACCTGCAGCTCAGGAATAATTATTTTGTGCCCTGTAAATGAAGACTAAATAAATTGGGCGATTGGCACACTAAAATAAGGGCTGAGACAGTCCTGCTCATTATTACGGATATTCTTGAGTCCTAACCAGATTGGAAGTTTGTTAGGAAAAGGTATCTTTTTCCTGCTGGTTACCTAGTTGGTAGTAAAATGACTAACAAATGTTCAGATGTTTTTGTTGTATCAGTTAGGTTTTATCTTATTGCCAGTAGCAGAAACTCTAACGTAAGCTGGTTTAAACGAGGGGCAGGCAGAGTACAATTTGTAGGTCAAACCTACCCTGTCACCTATTTTTGTATAGTCAACAATCTATGAAAGGTTTTTACATGGTTGAAGAAACAAAAGAAGACTATTTTGAGACACTGGAAAGCCGTGTGAAGTTACAATATCTGTGTTTGTGAAGAAGCAAGTTGTCTTCCCTCGTTCACAAGGGGCTGCGGTGACTGGAAGGCCAGGCAGTGACTGCTGAGTGGCCCCTGCCCAGCTTTGCTGCCGTGGAGGACGGTGGCCACCAGCAGCGACTCAGGAGAGACTGGCCGGGACAGTGAGCTGACGCAAAGTGGACACCTGGACAGGGAGCTGGCTTTCCTGGGGTCTGGGTGTGTCTAGCCCACGATGTTAGAGTTTCAGTGGAAATTGCTTCACTGGGTCTGATTTTCTGAGAAGCAAAGGAGCTAAACTAGATTTTGAAGACTTCTTTATGTTTTAAAATTTTATGTCTTATTTTGGAATTCCAGATTAATAACCTAGATCTGAAAGTGTATGTTGGAATTGGAGTTCTTCCACTGTAGCAGGATGTGGTGGCTCACACCTATACCCCTGCCACTCTGGTGGCCAGGGCAGGAGCGTCACCATGGGCTTGAAGCCAGCCTGGGCTGCATGCTGAGTTCAAGACCAGTGAGACTCTGTCTCAAAACACACACACACACACACACACACACACACACACATGCATACACACACACACAGAGTCTTCAATTACAGATAAGAGAGGTCAACACTAGTCAATTTAAGCAAAAAAGATTTTTATTGTAAGGAAATACAGGCAGGGAAAGTGGGATCTACAGGGTGAGAGGCCGGGCCAGGTGGGTCCTGAGGCCCAGGCAGCCACAATCTCTGTAGGGCACCCACAGTCTTGGGTGACTTCTGGTCACCCTCAGAACAATCCAGGATTGGAGCTCTGTTGGGATGTTTGGAGTCTAGCTTAGGTTTGTATCAAGGAACCATCTGATGGCGTGCAGCCAGGGCAGCTGTTCCCAAAGCTGGATAGATGGGCTAGGACTGGGAGAAGGGGCCACATGGTGAGTGGGTAAATGCAACCTCGGCCCACGCTGCGGCCAAGCACACAGCGCCAGAGGGGCAGACCTCGCACCCTGCCCACTAGGCGGATGCTGACTGATCTGTGAGGGACTCCAGAGAATTACACGTGAGGCTGTCGGGAAGAGGTGCTTGAGTTTTGCTCGAGAAGACCTGGGAACTGAATTGTTTTCTCTTTTACTTTGAATCATTAAACCCTATCCAGCCATGTGCAACGGGAGAGATGTTAAGTAATCTTCTCATTAAATGTGCTATTACACTGGGTAGAGAAAGTAACTTCTTTTAGGTCTCAGCTTCCTGGACTGGGTGCCTGGCGTGATGGCCCCCACTCCCGGGCCACACCATGGTGAGCCTCAGTGATGGACATTCAGTGCAGAGTCCTCGCAGCTGCTCTGAATGAAGCTGCATCACCTCTACCTCTACCTTAGACGAAGACCCAGGCTGAACAGAATCAAATCCGTCCCCAGCTGCTGTCAGTAGAGCCCACTCTGAGGACACAGAAAGGACTTATTACAGAGTGAAAAAAATTCAGAGCCTTGTAGCGTGTGATTGAGCCGTCAGTTCTCTGGAGTTCATGTTGGACGACTTATCTGTCTCTACTTCTGGCAATAATGAAACATTATGACCTCACAAAGCAAATCAGTGAATGTAATTATCTCCATTCAGCTCTCCCTTTTCTCTGAGCCTTGACATTTGCTCAGGAGGAAATGTTTACAGGAATTTGTCTTCGATCAAGGCCTCATGCACGTGTGTGCTCTCTTTTTTTTTAAAGAAAACTCACCAGTGCTTGTGCTTTACCTAGGAAGGCTCTGCCGGGGCCTTGACTCAGCTGTCTGAGGTTCTGCTAAGGCCCTGGTGTGAGCAGGCTCAGCCCCAGCCTGGGAGCATCAGCCCTGCAGCTGGACTCTGGCGGGGCGCCCCTCATTTGTTAAATAAAAACGCTTCTTTTCTTACTGTTTACCTTTCCCTCCAAGGGCAGTTTCCTATTACCACCTTGCTTTTTGTTTGTTTTGTTTTTTGCCCCTGAAGCCGTTGGTCTGCTCCACCAGGCCTAGGTTTGTGGGATTTGCTTTTGATTCCACAGCGGCCCAGAGTGGCTACAACTATCTGAAAGCATGTGGAAAAATTCTCAAAATTCAGTGATGCACAGTTCACTTTGGCTTAATACATCTGTATCACTCTGCACAGTAAGCAGAAGAGAGAATGCTGAGAAATCAGTATAGATTGCCATATTTGTAAGAAGACCTTGCGGTCTTCTTACTGAATAACCTTTTCAGAGGTTATTTTGGGGGTGGAATAGTTCTTATTTTGCTGGCAGGAGTATGTCGTTGATTTGTTTTATTTCCCCTGTATCTCACCACAAACCAGCTCACAATACCTCACCCCACGTTTTAAAGTGTCTCCTCCCTGTCGGGTAACCATCATTACAGAATTGTGTTTACGGTCCCCTTCCACTCTTGGTCCATATCTGCCACCATGTTGTGTTGGTCCCCCGGCCTTGTGGGTGGCAGAATCTAAGGAATTAATTAGCGAGACCTGGAATGGACCGACTTGCTCCATACCAGTTTACCCAGCAACTCTGGTGAGCAGTAAAGATCTTGCCATTCGAATGAAACTTGCTGGTTGAGGTCCCCTTTGGGGACCTTTTAGGTCAAGTGACCTAAGAGATTCTCTACAGTTCAGCTCCTATTGTAGCTGGACCTCATTTTTATCTGCAGAGTCACAGAAATGTAGAATTGCATAAATTTAGAGCAGTATAGAAGGATGTTACCAGAATGGTCAGACGGAAGGATGGTGTGACGCTGACAGCCCAGCAGTGCCTGCCTTGCAGGAGTGACACTTTGGCTTTCTCTCTGGGCTTCATTGGAGATATGGTGAGATTGCTACTTTTTTGATAGTTTCTATCTTTTTTACCCTTTTCCTCTTAAAAAAAAAGTTTCTAAAATTTTTAAGGGCCCAGACTCATTTAAAGAGTCATTCAAATACTAGGAGCATTCACAGAATGCTTAAAATTGAGTAGGTGGCTTTGAGTAGAGGGAAGAAGGTCAGGCAGGGCCACCAACGCTCTGGGAGGGACCTGCAGCTCTGCTGAGGCTGAGGGCTCTGGTAGGGAGGAGTGAAGGTCCCAGCCTGCATGGCCCTCTGGATGCAGAAAGTCAGCACAGAAGTGGAGTGGAAGCACAGGTGTGCGGCTGGCGCTGCACGGGGTCCAGAACTGGACCTGCTGAGTGGCCACCCGTTGTACTGATACCATGTGCAGGGAGCTTCTGCTTGGGGCTTTTCTCCAGGAGAGTTCTGGGGGCGTAGAGGGAAGAGGAAATTCTGGGCAGGGATGAACCTACAGAAAAGAAAGCATTAGAAATCCAGGCAACACAGGACTACTCTTTGTGCAGCTTTGTTGTGGAAATAAAACCCTGCACCAGAGCCCAATTCCAATTCAGCTGTTAGGCCAGAGAAACGTCAGCTTCTGTGTTAGGGGAAAATGTAGGGAGCCCAGGCTAGCACCCTGCTGCAAAGCTCGTCAAGGACTATGATCCCTGAGTCCCTCAGACTCCACTGAAGTTGGGGGCCACCAGTGTCCTTTACAAGCTCTGTAGTGTCCGCAGCCCTGCCTGAAGCAGGACCAGGGAAATTAGGAAAACTCACCCTGCGCTGCAGATAGATTCGCAGACTGGCATGAGTAAGCTGGGTGATACCAAAGAGGAAAGGAGGATTTTGGCCTCTCTAGTAAATCAGCTTTAGGAAGAACATTCCTTGCATTTCCTGCCTTTCTTTTCTTCCCGTCTCCCTCCCCTTCTCCCTCTGCCCCACCCTCCCTTCCTCCCTTGTCCCCCTCCCCCTCTTTCTCCTCCCACCCTTTCTGTCTTTCTTTCTGTTTTGGTTTTTTGAGACGAGATTTCTCTCTATGTAGCTCAGTCTGGCCTTGAACTTGCAGCAGTCCTCCCGCCTCTGCATCCCAAATGCTGTGATTACAGAGATGCACCACCATGCCCAGCCTTGCCATTCTTTCTAACCCAAAACTAAAACCAAGATCTGTCAGTCCCTGAAGCCATGCTGCCCATTTTGGACTTTTTGTCTAAAAATCACATTTCTGTCTTGTGTCCTTGTTTCTCCTGAGGCCACCTTGAAAGAGGAAACTTTGCACAAAAGCTTTGCAGTTCCCATTTGGTCCTACAGAGAAGAAGGGAATGTTGGGTGGATTGTGAGAGAAGAGGATTCTGTGCTCGCCTGATTGAATCAGGTGGGATTTCCAACTTCTTGAGGAACTGGGTTGGTAAGCAGGGCTCACTCTGAGCTTGAATCAAGCATGAGTTGGGGGCTGGGGGTTGGACAGCTATTTGATTACAGTTTGCAGAGTAGTGAAACCTTAACAGAGAGTTTAAAAATATTTATTACATATTGGATCAAGCTTGCCCTGGCAAAGTAAGATCTTAGTTGAATTAGAAGCCAGTGGATGAGGTTTTCTTGAAAGTATTCTTTGTTAATATGATTCAGGAGGAAGCGCTGATGTGATGCATTTCAGATTTAATGCAACTGGGACTTTGGGGATAGGAGGACAGTTCCCCAAATCCAGCATGTTTGTATTCGCTGATGTTCGGTGTCATGGCCTATGATTCTGCACTAGATATGTGTTATGGGGAAAAGCCTTCTGGCTAAGGTAGCCAAGGGGTCAGCAAATAAATTTTTTTATATTCTCTTTTTAAATTATTGGTTTAGGGCCTGGGGATTTAGCTCAGTGGCACAGGCGTCTCGTCTGCCTGGCAAGTGTGAGGTTGTGAGTTCGATCTCCAGTACCCTCCCCCCAAAATAAATTACTGGATTATGCTAAGAAAAACCACCACTACCAATAGCAAAATCCCCCACTCTGTCAATGTTTAGTTCTAAAAACAAACCTTGCCCCACCTTACCACTTAGGTTTATGTCATTTGAGATGCTCATGGCACCTAATAAGCCAAAACTGGCTAAACGTTTAGCCTAGAGGAGGCCGTGTGAAATCAGCTCACTTTGCGGGAATGCGGCTGACTCTGCAGTTGGCGAGTGTGCACAAGCACGCAGACTGCGTGTGCCATCCTGTTCCCATGCCTGCCGTGGGCCTCTTGGTGCAGCGGGCCCTGACTGTGCATACTGTGTGGAGCATCTATCAGGGCCAGGATTACCCTGGAAGCACACCTCATGGCTTAAGTTTTTCTCCAACAATGGATCAGATGACTATGGGTTCCAGCTGGGAGTCAGATGAATCAGCTGGCTTTTATTTAGAGGCCCCAGTGTGTCCTAAATACTTATCTTTCTTTTTTATTCTTTTTGGCACCAGGAATCAAACTCAGGGCCTTGTGCTTGCCGGCAGGTGCTGTACCCGAGTCATGACCCCGCCCTTATCTTTCAAACTGCAGCTTCACATTTGACCTCACCCGGCGGAAACACAAGGGAAATAGAACCAGTCGAGGCAACAGCGGGTTTGTGCCCTTCATTCTGGTGACACCAAGGCCTCACCAAGGGGATGGGTGATTGCAATGGCCGCTCTGTCTTTAGAGACAGGGTCTTGCTGCGTGCTTCAGGCTGGCCTCGACTCACTGTGGTGCTGCCCAGGCCAGCTGTTGCCCAGGCCAGTTGAGAGCTCAGGGGCACTCTTGCCTTTGCACCCTGGGTGCTGCCATGCTTGATAGGGCACACGGGAAGGGCCAAGGACAGGCAGCTGGATTTGTGTCATGTGATGTTACAGTGAATACTGGCTGATTTAATGAAGGTTTCAGATTATTTAGTTATTTTATTGGCTCTTGTATGAATAAAAGCTTGTATTCCCCTACTGGAAGAAAATGGTTTAAATATTTTTGAGTGGTAACAAAGCATAATCAAGCAGTTACTAATCCGAGCATGGTGATAAATGCCTGGAAGCCCAGCTACTAAGGAGATTGAGGCAGGAGGATTGTAAGTTTGAGACCAGCCTCGGCAAATTATAAGGTCTTGTCCTAAAATGAAAACTAAAAGGGGCTGAGGATGTAGCTCAGTAGTAAAGTGCCCTGGGTTCTGTGCTCCTGCACCAGGGAAAAAATAACCAATGATTTTAAAAAAGAAAAAAAAAAAAAAAAAAAAAAAACCAACTCAGGCAACTTAGATGAAAGTCTGGTCATAAATAATCTGAATTTCTTAGTCGTAGAATATATAGCAATACTGGCAATTTTAATACCATCACTAATCATTTGGAAATCTCTGACATTCTTTCCCTGCAATATTTGTGTATTTAGTGGAAACTCTTTAAAAAGTCCTCACTAGACAACAAAAGTTGTTTCATGGTTATGATGTAATTGTAAGGTACTATTTCAAGACTGCCAAGATCAAAGGCTTGAAATATGACTGACGAAAAAAATATGCAGGAGAGACCCCTCCACCTGACCTTTCAAGGGACCTTAACCAATAGCATTTTGCTTTCTGTTATCATTAGGTTTCTGGAAACAGAATCGTACAAAAGATACATTCTCCAGAGGCACATGAATTAAAATTAAAAGAGTAAAAACAAATAATCTTAAATGATGAAATTCTCCTTTTCATTTAAACAGTGGGAGATAGATGTACTTAATGTCCTAAAAATAAAAATAGGAAATTGTACTCAGATTTTGTGTTGGGGAGCTGGTGATGTAGCTTCCTAGGGAAGCACTTGTGTAGCTCAACAGAACCCTGAGTTCAACCCCAGCACAATTAACGACAGCAACAATAAAACAAGGAACAAACGAAACCTTCGAAAATCCTAAAACAAAACAAAGCAAAAATAAAAATAGAAGAAAATACATTGAGAACTGGGTCCAATATCAAAATCTGAAAAGAGATATCAAGAAAACCGCTTTTATTGTTTTTGTGTAGACAAAGGAAATCTCCTAGTGCATCTCCCTGAGCCTTAGGACGGCTTATCTTTACAATTTACAGTTCTTTCCATACAATAAAAACAAACTGACAGACGACTTTTTCTGTATGTTTGACTGCTGTACACTCGGTCAGGAGCTGCTAATCGGCGGGGCATATTCAAAACTTTCTTTCCTTCTTTTGTCTAAAGCGATGAGGAGAGGAGACATCAAGTCCCAATTCTCTCTTGTAGCTCTTTCTAATTTCCCAAACTAGAAAAGAAGGTAGGAAAGAAAAAAGGAAGAGAGGAGGGGAAAGGAAGGGAAGGGAACAACAGAAAAAGAAAAACCAGCAATGCTTGTTCACACATAAGACAGTTTTAGATGGTGGTGATGGTTTTCTCTCATGAATTACCAACCTCCGAGAGGACAATGGGCCCTGAGGTGCAGCTCAGAGATGGAGCACAGGCCTGGTATGCTCAGGGTCTGGGTTCAGGCCCTGGCAGCACGGAACGAGGAGGAAGGAAGGAAAGAGGGCAGGAAGAAGGGAAGGAAGGGAAAGGAGCTCTCTGCTGTCACCCTGGACTCCAACCCACAGCTCTCACCTTGGCTTCCCGGCAGATGGAGCAGAGAGCACTTTCTTTTCCTCCTTTTTCTTGTTTAAAGACGAGGGATCCTCAGAGGGAAAGAATTAACTGGAGACCACAGTTAAGTCAAAAGCCAGTTCAGCTTGCTGCCTTCAGAAGGCTGGAGCCCGACTTAACTGACATTCTGTTGTACTCTTATCCTCTACCCATGGCCACATACTGTGGCTGTTTTTTAGGAAAGCCAGACAAATGGGGGAGAGGGCATCTTGGGATCTTTCAGAGCTTGGAGAAGAAGGACTGGCTCTGCCCTGGACAGTCCTCCTACAAATGCATCACTTCTGCATTCCCGGTATGTGGCACATAGGACAGCAATGCATGTGAAATGGATGGAAATAAAGGACGCCTAAGGTTTCTCTGAGTTGATATGAATCTTAATTAATCAATTAACATTTTTTTTTTATCGGTACTGAGGCTCGAACTCACGACCACATGCTTGCAAGGCAGGCGCTTATGCTGCTGAGCTAAATCTCCAGCCTCTCAATGAACTTATTTATTGATACCAAGAATCAAACTCTGGACCTCATGCTTGCTAGGTGGGTGCTGTGCCACTGAGCTAAATCCCTGGCCTGGAGCAGAATTTTAAAACCACTGCCATGCCAGCCGTCAGGTGCCCAGTTTCCACAAGAAGGGATGTGAGGAGTGTCGATGGAATGATGGGGCCCAGGGACCCTGACTTGGGACCCCTCAGGAGACAGTGGCTTTGGTGGGCAATGCTGATGATAAATGGAATCAGGGAACCCTTTGGCCATGTGACTGGGAGCTCTAGCAAGCTGAGGGCAGGGTCAGTGCATCTCATGGGCAGGAAGGCCATGACAACATCACAGGGAGGCCAGGAGGGCAGGGGTCAGTGCTCTGGTCAGCAGTGCTGCAGCTGGCTCCAGGGTGTCTTCTGTAGTATGATGACAGCATGACAAGACAGCCATGGTCTCATGGCCACACAGCTCCACCAAGCTTAGGGGCACAGATCCCCACGTTTGCCGAGCTGCTCCCCTGGGAACCCACCCATGGGGCCCATGGGGCAGTTGTGTCTCCCTCCTGTGGCACCCAGAGCACATACCCAAAGCAGGACAAGACAACTTTCCTATGCACCAGCTCATCTCCTGACACCTCTCTCTAAATCAGGACCAGTCAGGCGGCCGGACACCTAGGTCCAGAGCCCAGGACATTCCCAAGGGGCGCAGATGAGGTGGGAGGCAATTTCTCTGATGGAGAGGAAATTCCAAAGTTGGCATCGAAGGCCCGAGAAAGCCGTTACTGCTGAGGCTCAGGTCTCCTCGGCAGGTGCCATTACCACTTGATAAACCCTCAAGCTGGGAGGTTAGACTCTGTGGGGAGCCCCTGGCACCCTAAATTTGACTGTCTTCTGCTCTGCTGTTGCCCTTCAGCCATCCTGTGGGTTGGCCCTGGGTTCAGGGCTCCTCCTGCTCTCTGGAGGTTTCTTCTCTGGACCGTCTGAAATCCTCTCTGGCCACACTGACCTCATCTCTGTCAGAGGAAAATGTGCTGAGCTGTCAAACAGAGGGGCTCACTGATGTCCCAGCTCCTTGAGGCAGCATGGCCACCCCAGCCTGGAAAGTTTCTGCTTTTTTCCTTCTTTCCTGGGCAGCCGGGTCATCAGGTTTCTGGGGAAAAGGAGAGGCATTTTCCAGAAGGGCCCAGAGAAGTGACGCTGGGGCTTTCTGGGAACTTGTGAGCAGACTTGGTTAGACTTTTGACCCTTCAAATACTACCCCAAAATAATTTTTTATACTTTCTGATTGATAAAGTGTATAAAGTGGGATAAGCATGAAATCAAATTAAGCTCATAAATTTAGCAGTCACACTTGTTTGGTCTTAGCAAGCTCTGAGAACGTATGTGTGGGTTTTATTTTATCTGTAACCATAACTTTGTTTGCACTGGAAGGGGAAATTCCTCCAGCAGAGGCTAATTTAATTTTGTCAGTAACCAGACACATTCTGTTTAGATCTGGAATCCTTTTAGCACGGAGCTTTCTCTCAGTCACCTTCTCTACCCATATTTGGACTGGGCTCTGGGAAGGGGCCCTCTGCTTACTGATGCCCTGGTGATCAGAAAGACTTGGTGTCCTGTTTGCAGTGGTGTCTTAGAGAGAAGTGCAGTGTTATCAAAATCCACAAGTTCTTTAGCAGACAACAGCCACGTGGCTCTGGCCCAGGGGCCACAGTGCTGCCTCCCCCAAGAAGGCTCAGTTGAACAGAGCCGAAGGAGAGGATCCCAGCAACAGCGAAAACATCACTTTCCACTGCATCACTGGGAGCAAACACCGAAACCATATTCAAAGAGCTCTTTGTCCACAGATAACATTGAATCGGAAACTCGTTCAGCCAGATTCTCTTGTTACAGTTTACTGTTTCATCAGAGGGGGGCAGGGACAGACACCAGCTACTCTTCAATAATGGGATGAGTCCCACAGGAAGTTTGGCATGTCCAAATATGTCCCTGAAGTAAACAAACAAACACATGAGCAAATGAATGAATGAATGTAGTTTAGAAACTCCCTCCTCTAAAGTGGAAAAAGGTGCCTCTGCCCGATTCCAAATGCTTATTTGGGAGGAGAGTTTGGGGCCCAGACAAACAGGGGACAGAGGTTTGCAAGTGTGAGAGAAGAAAGTACCAAGGGCAGCACCTCCTCTCCCAGAGATTAAAGGCAGGAACCGAACCAAGACAGGAGGAATGGACCAAGGGGAGGAAGGCTGGAAGTGGCTCCCTGCCGTGCATGCCTGGAGAACAATCCCCTTTGTTCCAGGCAGCCAGAGCTGCTTGGGAGCAGGGCGCTGGGCCCGGGCAGGTTGCAGCCTGTGTGGCGGGTGAGGGCTCAGTGACCAGGGCCCAGGTGGGTGGGCCTGGAATGCTGCTCCTGGTGCAGGGATGAGGGGGCGCTGGGTCCATTTCCCAGTCTGAGGCTCAGCCTTCCCGCTCCAGGGCAGTGCCTGGTGCTCTGGGGAGAGCCTGGACGTCTATGAGGACAGAGGGCTGTCCACCTGGGAGTGGGCAGTTACCTGGGGAATCAGAAAACAAAGCCAAGCAAATCCCAGGCCCCCTGTAGTCTCTAATTAAATCTCCATGGGGATCAGGTCAGAGAATTAGTTTTTCAATGTCACGGGAGGAAGTGGGGGGGTACCTTGAGCATCAGTCCCCAGCTTCTTACACCAGCTGATGCATGTGAACCAGGTCGGGGTTCCAGCCTGGAAGCTGGCTGTGCTTCTGTGGGCCCTGAGTGGACTTCACTCAGGACAACTCCAGTGATGTCTTCCTAGGATGGGCTAGGGCGGGACGTGCACCTGTGATCCTCAGGCTTCTGGTCTCCCAGGACAAGGACTCCAGCATCATCTGGCTATGTTTTTAGGATTTGATGGTTTGCCGGGTGTGGTGGCTCAAGCCTGTAATCCCAGCACTTGGGAGGCTGAGGCAGGAGGATCCTTGTAAGTTTGAGACCAGCCTGGGATACAAAGTGAGCGCGAGGCCAGCGTGAACTGCATAGAGAGACCCTGTCTCAAAAAGACAAAAAAAAAAAAAAAAAAAAAAAAAAAAGATTTGATGGCTCAGAAAAACCAGGCTCAGCTGACTGTAAGCCAGGCCCCCCAGTCAGGGAGGGAATGAGACCAGGTGGACACTGACCTACAAAACCAGGAATAGCCTGCCCTCTGCTGTGTCTCAGCCCCTGGCCTTCTCTTCTTTGCATCCTGACTTGCTCTTCCAACTCTATTTTTTATTTTCTGTCTTGGAATTAATTTGTTTTTCCTTGTATTCCTTACACTTGCTTTCTTCCCTGTTTTTGTTTCTCAAGCTTTTTTGGCTTGTATGGTTCATGCAGAATGTCTGTTGTTGTCTTGGTCCTAGCTTCATTCACAAGTGTTCATTGGCTGCTTCATACCAGCTGCTGGGGGTACACTAATGAAGGAAGGGCCAGCTCTCATGGGATTGTATCCTAACAGGAGTTAATAAGTAGTAATCAATAAGCATAAAGATAAGAAAATTATCTGTATGTTAGGAGGTGGTAAATGCAATGGGGACGATAGTTCAGCAAAGGAGAATCAGGAATGCTGGCCCGTGGCAGAGAGACTGGATAAACTGCCATGTTAAACTTTCAGTGCCTGCTCCCCATGGCCAGTGTAATTGTCCTGTACTACAAACATGTACCAGCTTTAAAAAGTCGAAAAAAATTTAAACAGTAAAAAAAAAAATTTAAAAAGTAAGATGGTATGAGGATTCATTGTGCTACTCAAACATTTTCTGATGCCTATATTTTCATTTATAGAAATAGTACTACTTGTCTCAAGTTTTAAAGTTTCCTCCAAGCTACTGTGAGCACATTTAATTCGTTGCTTCTAACTGGTACATCACACACTGGGGTGTGTGTTTACCGTGCCACCTCAGTCTCTCGGTGAGGGACTCTGGGACTGCTTCTAATCTTCCACCAAATCAGCATTCTCACTGGTTAGAAAACATTT